TGATTTGACTGTGTAATGTCCATCCTTTGTAAAGATCCAGACAGGGACATCAGGACTCTTGATTAAACGCGGCCTAACTTTCATGATATGAGAGATATCATCGGGATGAACTGTTTGTTGTAGCTTATGAGGACACCAATTTGATGAGTTCGGTGTGAGAAGGCTTGAAACAGTCAAATAGTGTTCTTCCTGATGATTAACACTTCTTGCTGGGCGAGGAGGATTATCTAGCCAAGGGTCACGCCAGATTCTGACTGTTTCACCATCACCAATTCTCCATTTTAAACCTTGTTTGATCAGCTGCAGGCCTTGTAAGATACTTCTCCAAGCATGGCTAGGCCTATGTCCCAAAGTAGCATCCATTAAACCAGTGTTGGAAAAGTATTTTGCGTGGAGGACTCTTGTCAAGAGAGATTGAGGCTGTTTTAGCATTCTCCAAGGTTGCTTTGCTAACAAGGCAATATTAAAATGGTGAAGATCTCTGAACCCCAAACCTCCATATTGCTTTAACTTTGTTATTTTACTCCAGGCTACCCAAGGAATTTTGTGCTTGTCCTTGATACTTGACCACCAAAATTTCCTGATATGTCCTGTCAATTCAGAAGTGATTCTTTTAGGTAACAGGAAACATGACATTGTGTAAGTGGGAAGAGCGGTAGCCACAGCCTTAATCATTACTTCTTTTCCCCCTGGTGATAGAAACTTAGAATACCAGCTTTCTAACTTATTTTGCAGTTTCTGACAGATATATGAAAATGTATCTTTCTTACTTCTACCCATTGCTTCAGGCAAACCCAAGTATCTTCCAAATCCCCCAGTCTTAAGGATACATGTGTGGTGTTTAATACAATCCTGAAGATTGGTATCTACTTTCTTACCAAACAGTATGGCCGATTTCTGGAAGTTGATATGTTGTCCTGAAGCTGAGGCATATAATTTGAGAATTTCCAAGATTCTTTTGCATTCCTCTTCATTAGCTTTACAAAAGAGAAGAGAGTCATCAGCAAACAGCATATGAGAAATTTTTGGTCCACTTCTACTGGCTTTGAAGCCATGAATATTGTTACTTTTGACAGCTGCTGAAAGAAGAGATGAAAGCCCCTCTGTACAAAGCAAGTAAAGATATGGTGAAAGAGGGTCACCTTGTCGTATGCCTCTTTGGGGGATGATTTTCTTGGAAGGAGAGCCGTTAACAAGGACTGAATATGATACTGTAGTGATGCACTTCATGATCCAGGAGCACCACTTTTCTGCAAAACCCAAACGTTTCATAACAGCCTCAATATAGTTCCATTCCACTTTATCAAAGGCTTTTGCAATATCCAACTTTATAGCCATGTAAGGAGTTTTTAAGTTCTTAGTACGAAGAGAATGGAGGAGTTCATGAGTGACAATAATGTTATCAGTTATGAGTCTGCCTGGAATAAAAGCTGTCTGAAACTCTGATATCAGAGAATGTAACCAAGGCTTGAGTCTTTCAGCTAGGATTTTAGATATCAACTTATATGC